TATATATATATATATATTAGGCGGTGAACATTACTGTGACACTGTTTCATTCAGAGATTCCCTTCCATTATTAAAAAAATGAGGACCAGGAAAATGACCAAGTCATCTGTAGCAGAAACAAATACACACACACACAATCACTCCCACAGGTCGGAGTGGAGAGTAGCATCCTGGGAAATAAGGACAACAATAATGCACCACCCATAGCCTAATAACCAACAACACATCAAAAGAAGGATCACATTTATTCACTCATAGCTGGGCAGAGTAAAACAGTGATTTATTAAAAGAAGACCATGTCAGAAACAGGATGCAGATCGTCTAAAGRGAAACTTCTCCCTCCACATTCAACAGCTCTGCATAATTCCACTCAGTGCTGCTCAGGAAGATCAGCTTCAGAGGGACTTGATTTATGATGCGGGGCTGCGCCGTACAACAACCACTGAGGAGCAGCAAAAAACTGCAGAGCAGCACAATCTGCTGCTGGCCTCCCTCCATCAGCCACTGGTGCTGATGCTGGGAGGAGGAGGAGGAGGAGGAGCRGGACGAGGAGGAGAGGGGGTCTACACCCTCTCTGCCTAGCCCTCCTCTTAACAAGCTGGACAGAAGAACCAAGGCCAAGACAGGAAATATGACAACAACATTCAAAACAAAAGCATGAGAAAAGTGAGATATTTAAATCCTGCAGCTATTTTATACTCTGGATGTTATGACATAGCATGCAACATACTACAAAATATCATTTGAATTTGATTAAAAAGTGTTTTGATGCAAACAAACAAAAAAAACGTTGTTATAATATTTATATTCAAGTGGGTTACACACCAAGCTTGGTTTCACTTTTTGCGACATAATCTTTATGGGCTTTTAATAAACAATTGCCTGAGCCTTTTTTCAGTTTTTCAGTAATGTCAAAAAATATCAAATGGTACATTGTTGGTAAAATTCTCTTTTTTGTGTGTTATGAAATATATTTTTAAAAATTACATAGGAAGATTTCAGTTATCTTATTGCTTGTTTTATAAATATTTTTGTTACTTTGCATTAGATGTGAACAATAACATATTAATATAATTATAAGCACATTATTTTTTACTAAAGGTAATAATGAAAAAAGCTAATTTATGTTGTGAGTAAATAACACTTTAAATAAGAGTTGCTCTATAATACACTGAATTATATCAGACTTATCTTAAAAAATTCTAACATTAATTGATCACTTTGCAAACAAATTAACTCTTTGTTAATATCATGACAACAATTAAAGTTTGGACTTGCAACATTAGCATGAACCATTTTATTCAACCTGATACAAACCTCTCTCTCTCTCTCTCTCTCTCTCTCTCTCTCTCTCTCTCTCTCTCTCTCTCTCTCTCTCTCT